GAGTGCCATGAACCCTAAAAACTTACACCTCTCTACAATTCCAATCATTCCTGTCAACATGGAAAATTAGCCACTCCCTCGACATCCCTTATAATCCACAGGGACAGGCCATTGTAGAGCAAGCCAATAGGACCCACAAAGAAACATTACAAAAATTTGCCACCCCTGAGTCTAAAAGGGACCCACATCTGGCTCTAATTAAAGCTCTATTCAGCATTAATTTCCTGTCCTTCAATGAAAATTAGTTGAGCCCGGCCTACAAACACTGGGCTACCATACCTAGGCCTACACCCCTGCCACTAGTGAGATGGAAGGACCCCATGTCAATGGAAACTGCCCTCCCCTTGTTAACAAGAGGGCGAGGCTATGCTTGTGTGTTTCATCAGACAGAAACAAAGCTAGTATGGGTTCCAGCAAGAAATGTGAGACCAGCAACTGACCAATGGGACCCTCAGGACCCAGAGACCTCGCTGCTGTCTGGATAATTGGTTTGCTCTTCCCTGCCCCTGCCACAGCCTATGATCTCTGGGCCTTGGTCCCCTCCCCGCCTATACTCTTGCCCTTATCACTTCATTCCCCAGCCTACCCCACCCTCTATTCAAATAATTCTACGCTTGGCCTCCCCACCATGGACCCATTTATTTCCTGGGAATCACTCAATGGCTCCTGGCCCCTAAATAACTCTCTGTGCTTCACTACCAACAACGCATCCTCATGCATTAAGCTGTTCAACCTGACTGTCCAAGATTATACCAGCAGTGCCTCTAACCTAAAAGCACTGTTTGACCTGTCTTGGATCGTCACTTACCTACTCCTGACAGGCATAATTATTCTTCTCTTTCTAATTCTTAAATTCCTTGTTCTTTGTTCCCGCAGTCAGAAAAAATTCAATCACTCAGTGTATCAGGGCCTCAGAGCAATACATGAAGATGATTTCAACCCACCCTATGCTGCCCAAAAGACTTGGCTTGCACAAATGTACGAGGCCTCCTACAGATAATTCCCCACCTTGACTGATCCCCCAGGACGATACCCCTTGGAGGGCTGGTAGTCAATGACAGGTAAGCTCTTGTTGGGCTGAATCAACCTAAGCCAGGACATGGACGTGTACGCCCATGCTCCAATGACGGATAAGGTTCATGCCCAAATAGAATAACCTAAGACAGGTACAGCCCATGATCCTGGGGTCATCCCAAGGTGGAGCTGCCTACAGGCTCTTGCTTGACAGTCACTTTTAAAGAAAAAGGGTGGAAATGTATCAGGAGGCCTCCAAAGATGGCACGGACCCAGAGCCCTGGGATTCAGCAAGAATTCACTTCACTTCTTGGTCCGCAAATAGCCCACCAAAAGGAGCCCATGCCTCTGTACCCTGCTCACGAGCCCAGTGACTGCTGACAGACTGCGTGGTGCAGACCAATCAGAAAATAGGCTGACTAAAGTGACTTGGGGGTGGAGAAAAGGGAAATATAAGGCCTGCCCCCTCCTGCATTAAACGAGCCTGCAGCACCTCACCTAGTGCTTGCTTCTACCTGAATCCCGGTGTCTGTGTGTTGACTCCACGCCTCTTGGCCCCCCTAATCGGCAGGGTCAGGGTCTTCACAGCTGGCCTGAGGAGAACCCACAACAGCTATCAACCGCCTGTAACTCCAGTTTCAGGGGATCTGAAGCCTTTTCTGACCTCCATAGGTACTGCATGACATGTGTGCATTTACATGCATGCAGGCAATACACTCATACACAGAAAATAAAAATAATAAAGTATTTTTTAAAAGACCCAAAAGGGTCTACCAGAAAACTAGAACTGATGAACACATTCAGCAAAATAGCAAGATACAAAATTAACGCACACAAAAGTCAGTAGCCTTCCTATATACCAACAACAAACATTCTGAAAACGAAACCAGGGAAACAGCCCCATTCATGATAGCTTCAAAAAAATATCTTGAAATAAATCTAGCCAATGAAGTGAAAGACTTGTATAATAAAAACCTTAAGATATTCAAGAAGAAATTGAAGAAGATACCAGAATATGGAAAGGCTTTCCATGCTCATAAATGAATATTGTAAATAGCCATCCAACAAAAAGCAGTCTAACTATTCAATGTAATTCCCAAATTTCAACACAATTCTTCACAGAAATTGATAATTTCAAGTGGAAGCACACTTGAATCAAACAGGATAGCCAACACAATCCTAAATAATAAAAGAAGAGCTGTTAGGCATCACTATCCCTGATTTCAAATTATACCACAGAGCCATATTAATAAAAACATCATGATACTGGCATAAAAAGAGACACATTGCTCAAAGAAATAGAACTGGGACCCAAATTTAAATCCATGTACTTGCAGCTACCTGAATTTTACAAAGGGTCCAAAAATACTCATTAGAGAAAAAATAGCATCTTCAACAAATGGTACTGGCCAATTAGGACAGCTACATGTGAAAGAGCAAAACTAGATTCCTATCTCTCGCCATGCACACAACTCCAAATGGATCAAGAACCTCAGTATAAGACTTTATACCCTGAATCTGACAGAGGTGAAATTAAGGAATACACTAGTACTTATAGGCACAGAAAAGGGCTTTCTGAACAGAACCCCAATAGCACAGGCATTAAGACCAACAATTGACAAATGAAATTTCATAAAACTAAAAAGCTTGTATACAGTAGAGGACACCATCATTTGAGACAGCCTATAAAATGTGCAAAAATCTTTATCATATATACAGATGATAGAGGATTAGTATCTAGAATATATAAATGACTGAAAAAATTAAGTATCAAAAAAACCCAATTAAAAAATTGGGGGAAGAATCTAAACAGAGACTTCTCAGAAGATAAAATGCAAATAGCTGAGAAACACCTTTAAAATGTTCAACATCTTTAGCCATCAAGGAAATGCAAATTAAATCTACTCCTAGATTTCATCTTACCCTAGTTGGAATGGTTAAGATCCCCCCCCCCACCAAAAAAAAGCTGGGGAAGATGTTGGGAAAAGAAAACTCTTATTCACTGCCTGTGGAGTGCAAACTGGTGCAGTTACTATGGAAATCAGTGGGGATGCCTCAAAAAAAACTAGAAATAGATCTACCACATGATCCATCAATATCACTCTTCGGCATTTACCCAAAGGACTCTGTATCTACAGAGATGCCTACTCATCCATATTCATTGCTGCTCTATTCACATTAGCCGGGAAGTAGAAGCACTCAGTACCTGCCAAACACTCCACTAGTACAAGATAGACTTTACAAGCTCGGTTCCTACACAGTACAAGGGCTTTAATGAAATATGATGGGTGAAACCCTTGCATGCATCTTAGTTCCCTCATGAAACCACACAAATATGTGTAAAAATATTATTTTAATTATAGTTCGACAAGTACTAAAACACTGGCAAGGAAGTATTCACTATCTGCTGATTGTTTATATATTATCTGATAATAAATATCAACAAATTTGGGGAAAGAATAATTAGATAGAGGTATTAGCAGAAAGGGAATTGAAAACAGAAGAGCCTTTAGAAAAGGACGTCATAATAGCCCAAAGTGCTCTTCACAAACTGTAGACCCAGATGAGTCATGGGGCTGAGTACTGGCTGGGTATCTTTATAAAGGTCAGCCAAGCTCCTGGCCAAAACCCTCCTCTTTGGGCAGTAGCTAGATGACTCCCCTTCCTTGTTGCTAGCAGAGAAATGGGCTTGGGTGGTAACAAACTGAGGACATCCAATACAACTGAAGGCAGTAGACAGTGTTGTGTCACAGTCCCTCTCTCTGCTGGCTAGAGGAGTGCTGCCCGATAGTTGTGCCAATTTCATGATAAGAAACTTCAATAGATACCAAGTCACACTCAGAAAAGAATAGTAGTAAAGAATGCTTATGTTTACCAAGTATAGAGAGAAACAATACACTACCGTGACCTAAATTCTTAATTTACAATTGTCTTCTTAAAAGATTTACTTGAGGTGAGGTGTAGTGGTGCATACCTTTAATCCCAGCAGATCTTGGTAAGATTGAGGCCAGCCTGGTCTACATAGCAAGCTGGGGCTACAGGGAGACTGTCTCAAACAACAACAACAACAACAACAACAAATTTCACTTCTCCCACAATGCCTTTCCCTACCCTAAAGGAGATCATCGGATTCTTCCACTAAAGAAATACAACAGTCTAAAGTCCTACAACATGTACCCCCTCCTCAAAAATGGCTGGGAAATAAACAGGAAGACTTTACAATTCTATGTAATATATACACAGATTTTGGTGTAAATTAAAGATGTGTACATGAAACATTATACCACTGGGTTCACCAGTGACTAAGCCTTACATTGTCATGATGTAATAGCTATACTGTTTTTTAAAAAGCCACAACTTTATGGGGAAGTTAAGGAATGAAACCTAGAGGCTGTAAGTGGTAGTGGGAAGGTAGAGAATGTGTAGACAGAAGTAAACATTTAAGTCTTCCTCTGTTATACTAAGAAATAAATAAAAAATATCTTAAAGGAATCAAACAGCCATATTAGCATATAATTTAATGGAAGACAAAACTAAAGGTAATCTTTTAAAAAAGTGGTTGAGGGGGCTGGAGAGATGACTCAGAGGTTAATGTTTGCTGCACAGTATTAAGGACTAAGTTTGTATCTCAGCTCCTACAAAACAAACCAGGCATTCCTCAAACACTAGACCCTAGATCCACGGAATCTGGCACCCTCTTCTCCATGAGTACATACACTTATACACACACACACACACACACACACACACACACACACACACAAAACCTAAAATAAACAAACAACTAATAAAAAGTGTTTAATTCTGAGGAGCTAGACACATGGGTAGATATTGTACTGAGGAGGTACTAAAGGGCTGCCTTTTGTTGTGATAATAGTTTGTCATAGTATTTGACTATTAAAAATAAGCATGTCTTACTTTGATTAATGTCTTTAAAACTAAATAACTTTGTGGACAGTTATTTTTCTCTCTTTTTTCTAATATAGCACTAAAGCAAGAGGAGAGTTTATTGAACAATTACATTTTTCAATTTACGAGGGACTATACAAGATACCTTGACAGCACGGTAAAGAATCAGTGTAGCTCATTTGTCTTGGGTTTTGTTTTCTTGGTTTTTTTTGCAGTGACAGGGATTGAACCCAGGGCTTTCTCTATGGTAGATGAATGGTGTTCCATTAGAACTGTGTTCCCAGACCTTAGTTTTCTGAGACAAGGTAAAGCCGGCCTTAAACTCATGAATCTCCTGCCCCAGCCCCTGAGTGCTGGGATAAAGTATGTTGCTGCCCAGTGTTTCCTCCTCCCTCCTCCCTTCCTTCCTCTCCCCCTTCTCCTCATTGTCCTTCTCTTTCTCCTCTTCCTTGTTTCTAATTGAAATGCTGGTATATACAAACAATACTATTTACCTAGTACCACTAAAGTTGTGAAATCCACAGTTATAAAAGTTATCCTTTCAATATTAGTATTTTAGAAGGGTAGTTAAGGGGCTGGAGAGATGGCTCAGCAGTTAAGAACATTTCTTCCAGAAGACCCGGGTTCAATTCCCAGCACCCACATGGCAGCTAACAACTGTCTGTAACTCCAGTTCCAGGGAACCCAATGCCCTCTTCTGGCCTCTGCAGTCTTTACATGACATGGGCACACTTACACACATGCAGGCAATACACTCATACACATAAAATAAAAATAATAAAATATTTTTAAAATTTTGGTTAATATACTCAGAGAGAGAAAGAGAACGAAGAAAAAGAGAAAGGTAAGTTTTTCCATTGATGCGATGAATGCCTGAGCAAATCAACTTAAGGAAGGAAAGGTTTATTTCATTTCAGAGGCCTCGGAGAGGCTGGCTTCTCTGCTTTGGGGCTTACAGCAAGGCTAAAGCATCATAGAGGAAGGGCCTGCCAGAGGAATGCCTATCACCTCATGGCACGCAGGAAGCAAGGAAGAATACTGGGAGAACAGGACTGAGACCAAAATATACCCTGTGGTTATATGTGATGCCACATTACGGCGATGCCTGAATAATCACAGCCTGACTCAGCATCCATTTTAACCAAGCTTGAGACCCAAACTGCTCGGAGAACCTGTTCTTTCAGATTTCTCCCTGAACTATGCTCTGGGTCAAGGGCAAGGAAGGGTCATAAGGAATTAAAGCTATGTGTTTAGGTTACAACACTGTAGGCCTAGTAAGCTTGTTTTAAATTATAAAACTGAGCTATTAAATGATCTCAAAACATAAGACTAACTTTTTGGTGAAAGAGCGACCTAGAGTGTGGGATCTTCCCAGAGGTGAACAAAGAACTGAAAACTCAGGGATGAATGAAGTCAAGACTCAGGAAAGTGTGAAAGTAAGTGTTTACTGAAACAAAGCAAAGAGCAGAGATAAAGACATCCGATCGGGAAGGGTGGGGTCTCCGGGGCTGGTAAACCACAAGTGACTTCTGGGCTGGTCTTTCTCTCCTTTAATCCCCTCTTGACACACTTTATCTTTTGACTCAGATGGCCCTGGCCAGAATAGAGATGATGGTCATGTCAGGCCAGTAGTCCTACCATTTGGTTAATGGCCTTGTTCTGAAACATTCCAGCAGTTAAGTGGGAATGTTATTTCCTTCCCTTCTTCCAATCTTTTCCCTAACTCCCTACCTACCCTTACCTAACTCCGACAACATTCATTAAAAGTCATTTGTCCAGAAGTTATTCATTCCCACAACTTTCAAAGGCATACCCCAGAGATCTATCTGCTCCAGCCCGGCCCCACCTTCCTCAGCCGCACCACCTCCTGATACTTTATTCAGATTTTAAATCCATCAGTGTACTAAGCTGGATAAAGGAGAGCCTTGTAGTCTAATCGTCTCTGGAAATGCCCTCATAGACACACCCAGAGGTACGCTTTACTAATCACCTTCAAGCCACTCACATTACCAACCAAGATTAAGTAGGTAGGGGGGCTCTGGAAACAACTCAAGTATAATGGTGGGGAAAAAAATCACTAATCATTGAAGAGACTTAACTTTTCTTATTTATAAGGTGGAATTAGATTGTGTTTTTTAAGAATCAGTAGCAGAGATTGTGGGAAAGAAAACAAAATAGGACCAGGTAAAGAGGTGTCCACTACCTTTTAAAATGCAAAATCTATAGTTAGCTATGATCTATGTGAGTTGATTACATTAAATAGAAACCTCTTTATTTATTTATTTTATTTTTTTTTTTGGTGTTTTTGAAACAGAGTCTCTCCCTGTATCCCAGCTGTCCTGGAACTTCCTATATAGACCAGGCTGGCCTTGAACTCACAGAGATCCACCTGCCTCTGCCTCCGAAGTACTGGGATTAAAGGTATGCACCACCATGCCAGGCTGAAACATCTTATTTTTTGAGATGCCCTGATATCAAAAGGTGATTTTTAATCACATACACATTTGATATATTTACACATATACATATATACACACATTTATATATTTCTTAATAAGATGTTCCAGGTAAGGATTATAAAATGAATAAAGGCCATGAGGTTTATAGCAGTATAATAGCCCAGAGTTTCATAGAGAATTCAGTAGGAAAAACAGTAAATAAATTTTATGAAACTGGGTTGGGGCTATAGCTCAGTTGGTATAGTGCTTGCCTAGCATGTTTGAAGCCCTGGGTTCCGTCTTCAATACTGCATAACAGAACATGGTGGCACATACCTGTAATACCAGCTCTTGGGAAGCGGGGACAGGAAAGTCAGAAAGTCACAGCCATCCTCAGCTTCACAGAGGGTTCTGAGGCCAGCCTGACCTGTCTCAGAAAAAAACAGTAAATATATATCCATAAAGTAATGTTTTCTCCTTCCAGAAATATTAAATCTTCCTTTAAAATCTCAATAAATTCCTCTCCTTTCTCCTCATTTTTGCCAGGCAATTATTCATAAATCAAAGCAAGTTCTCTTTTGTGAAAGTGTGTCCATGTCTTGGATACTTTATTTGAAGTCCACAGACCACCTTCCCAGAGTCCATGGATGTGTCTTCTTGAGTCAGCTTTGGGGCTTGTGTGTTTTTTCACTGGAAGGTTTGCACAGTCCACTGGCTGACTCTGAACGCAGAGGCTGGTTCTGACCGTAATCTAGGCAGCCTAATACAAATGTTCTGCTCCTTGAATCCTATGAGATAACCATGGCTTTTATGTTTGGGCAGGATTATGTGAAGCAAGAATTAAAACAATTACGAAACCAAGAATATATAAAAACCAGAGGACATTTTGAAATTCTAAAGAACTTAGAAAATGAAATCTGTGTACATGACCAAAAGGCAACCCTTTTGATCCTGGAAAATAAAAAATTAAAAGAAGTAAGTTCAAGAGCACCTTCAGTTTTCATACTGGTTTTGATTGATTGCCTAGACTGTGAGAGACCATGGTCTTCACTTCATAATCAGAGTACTGGAGATTCAGGAAAGTGACAGTGCAGCAGTTTTATTTATAGCCTTGCAAGGCTGAGTGTCAGCCTAGAACGGACAGGGTGCTGATTGAGTGCCCCGTATTAGTATATAAACACTGGACGCATGGCCCTTCCTCCCTTTTATTGATCACCTGGAGGTTACAATCTCACATGCCATCTAGGACTTTGCACTCTGTCACTTTCTCAGCAACAATCATCCATGAGTTTGTCTGTACGTTTTATATCCTGTTTATTTCTAAATTTATCAGAGGACAGATGACCTTACAGACAAGCTTAACTATGAGTAACCGTCTCTAAACTTCAAGTTTGTGTGTGCTGGAGGGGTAGCTTAGTGGAGTTTGGGTTGGAGAAAAACAGCTAGACTAGCAGACATTAGCAAGGATCTAATCTAAGGTTTTCTTTTGTAGCTGGACCTAACCTGGCCCAAAGCACCTTTGAAAAAGAACCATCAGATGTTATTTCTAACAGATCAGTAGTAGTTATGAAAGAAAAGAAAGATAATAACTTTTGAAACTGACCTTGAGTGGTATCCCAATCATCCACCTTCCTCTAGTCATTAACACCTCTCCCCACTGGAGTTCCACTCTACCAACTTCTAACCCCAGAGATTATCTTTGCATGGCTTCAAACATTGTATATGAAGAATGATACAGTATCCAGACTTCTGCTCAGCCTCATGACCCTGAGGTTCCTCTTTATTGAGTATAGCTGGTCATTGTTCTTAGTTCTTGTAGTGACCCATCCTATGATTATACTTTTTATTTAGTCACTCTACTACTAACAGGTACTTGGAGAGTGTCTCTTGGCTATTACAAAGAATGTTGCTAAACCCATTCAAGTATACTTATTTTGATGGGCAGACATAGTAATTCTGTTGGGTATAGATCCTAATCAGAATTGCCAATTCGTTGGGATTCACATCTTCCCAAGGGCATGCCAGTTCGGATGCCAGTTTCCCAAGGGCATTGTGCCAAATGCCCTTCCCACCAGCAATTCCTGAGAGCATGGTTGCCCCACATCCTGACCCAAACTGTCTGTTTCAGTGCAGCCAGCCAGTGGGTGTGCAGTGGTGTCCCACTAATTTTCATCTCTTTGACAACTAAGAAAAATCTATTCATGCATTGTTGGCCACTTGGGTATCCTCCTTTATAAAGTACCTGTTTAAGTACTTTAAGTTTTCTTTGCCAAGTTAAGAAATTGTGTTATCTGTATCATATTGATTGATAATTTTACAGCAAAAAAGTTTTTTTATTTAATCCCCAAAATTACAGTCTCAAATTTATGGATTTTAATTTGGGAGTTAGATCTTAAAAGATTAAGGCTTACCTATCTACACTTAAGATTTACTCATTTGAATGTTTTAGAGTACTACATTTAATTAGATATATGCCACTGATTCTGATACTCAGAATTGTTGAAGCCAAAGCATATATAGTTATAATACTTAATTTCCCTATTTCGTAATCTGTGACAAGATAGTAATAACAAAAGTTATATATTATCTCATTTGAAAGACCTGGGTTAGAATCTGTCACCATTGGAGACACTGTCCTTAACTTGTCCCATTTTAAAATGAGAATAACTGGGGCTGGATAGATGACTCAGTGATTAAGAGCACTGACTGCCCTTGCAGAGGACCCAAGTTTGATTCCCAGCACCCACAACCATCTGTGACAACCATCTGTAACTCAGTTCCAGGGAATCTGATTCCCTCTTTTGACCTCCACGGGCATTGCATGACAAGGGTGCACCTACCTACATGCAGGCAATATACTCATATACATAAAAAGAAATAAATAAAATATTTTAAAAATAAATGAGAATAACTTCTCATAAGCCATAGGCTGGATATTGCTTCTTTGTAAACTGAAAGATTAAAGTAAATGCAATTTTTTTTTTTTAATTCTTTTTCTCATTAAACTGCAATGCCCCCACAGTCAGGGTCTACATCAATATATCCCAAGGGTTGCACACTCTTCTTGTTAAAGGGACTTGTTTCATTTGACATTCATAATAATTTCAAAAGGTGAGTAATATATTACATCCCTTTGATAGATAAGGACACCAAGACTTTTTAAAAAATTTTTAATAGCTAGAGAAGAAAAAAAGTATTTAAAGCAGAAGCTCTGAGTAAGGGTAGCCCAGCCCTGAGCAGTCCAAAGGTGTTAAAGGAAATCCCTTCACAGGGCTGGGTGTGGTGGCACTTTAAAGGCAGAGGCAGGCACATCTCTGTGAGATCCAGGCCAGCCTGGTCTGGTGAGTTCCAGGCCAGCTGGGGTTATTGGGAGATGCTGTCTTAACACTGAAACAAAGAAAATCCCTTCACTTCTCTGTATGCCTTGTTTTTGTCTACTAAATGTCAAGCATTATTCCACAAAGCTCATGTGTATGGTTTGGTAGAATTAAAATGATGTAAATATAATGCTTTTTGAAAAGATAAGAGTGCTCTGAAGAGCACTGGTCCACACCAGCTTCAGTAACCCTCCATGCAACGCAGCAGCATTCTCTAGCTTTCGATACAAACTTATAAGGAACTTCATACACTTATGGAAGACTCCCACAGGACTCTTCTCCTATAAAGATAATATCTAATGTTTACTAGAAGAATTAGAATTTTTATCGCTATATTTTGCATAAGAAATATTTTTCCTGTGGACATGATGCATTCAGGCAGAACACCTTTTAACATCTTATTGCGTCAAATCATATTCAGAATGCCAGGTTTACTCATTCGATACTGAAAATAGTGAGTGAGCAGGATCCTCCATCTTCTTCCCTGTAGACACAGTAGAACAGTGGGGACTAAGAATTGATGCTTGTTTGATGAATGGCTGCATGGATGTTTTTTCTGACTAAATGCAGTGACCAGACCACTGAATGCAATCACATACCTTTCATTTTCAGCATCTTGCCTACCTGAAGAACCAAATACAACTATACAGAGAAAAATCAGAAAGCACCGTGAAGGACTCAGGTCATCTGTCTTGGCAACTGATAGCTCAGCACAGTAAGTTATGTGTCAGTCTTTCCATACAAATTTTTTTTCTTATTTGAATCAGATTAATTTGTATATAATAAAATGGCTCTATTTTACAGTCAGTGAATTTTGATAGCTAGACATGCCACTCCAACCACTCCCACCATAGCAAATGTCGAACATTTTCATCATTATGGAATTTGGAATTTCCCTTGTATCATGTTATGATTTTAATCTAAAATGTCCTTCACAGGCTCATAGTGTGAGCTAGTGGCATTATTTTGAAGGCTGTGGAACATTTAGGCAGTGTGGGGGTGGGGGCCTGATGGAAGTAGGTCATTAGGGACGGGTTTTTAAAGGTTATGTCTGTTCCTGACTCCACGTGGCACTCTTCTCAAGCAACCAAGATACGTGGGTTCTCTACCACACAGTCCCAGCATCATAGACTAAGTTTTACTAAAATAGTCATACTTTTTCAGTAACCATTATATTTTTTGAAATCTGTATTTCAGAAAAATATTCAGATTTGCTGAGAGAGTTTCAGGTGGCAATTAAGGTGAGTTTTTTATTTTAGGTTGTTTTATATGTTGTCTCCATATTATATTTCCAAAAGAGTTCACCTACCTACTAGAGAGAGAGAGAGAGAGAGAGAGACAGAGAGAGAGAGAGAGACAGAGAGAGACAGAGAGAATATATTCATGTGCACTTATGCACATATGGGCAGAGCTGCAGAAGGGTGTCAGAGCTGCTGCTACCAACACATCCTAAAACATATTCATTGTGCCAAATGTCACTATGAAATTTTAATCCTTTAAGAAATTATCTACTTAGACTACCACTCCGTTATATGGCGTTATTAGTTAGCTTTCTGTTGTTGTGATAAAACACCATGACCAGGGTAGCTTATAGAAGGAAGAGCTTATTGGGGTTACAATTCCAGGAGGATGAGTCCATCATGGTGGGAGAAGTATGCTGGCAGAAGTGCGAAGCAGAGCTCATATCTTCAATAGCAAACAAAAGAGAGAAAGCAAACAGGAAATAGGGTGAGGTTATGAGCACTCAAAGCCCGCCCCCAGCAACATGCTTCCTCCAACAAGCCTGCACCTCCTAAGATTCCATGACCTCCCAAACAGCACCACCAAATGGGGACCAAGTGTTCAAATACTGGAGCCTTTGGGGACATTTCCCATTCAGATCAACACAGAGAAATCGCCTTCCTTCCTTCTTCCCTCCCCCTCTCTCCCTTCCTTCCTTCTTCCCTCCCCCTCTCTCCCTTCCTTCCTTCCCTTCCCATTCTTTTCTCTCTTCTTTCTTCTCTTTCCTTTTCTTATTAAAACTTAAACAGAAAACATTTGGTTTCAAGGCTGAGCTGTCAGTTTAGACACCGTGCTTTACCAGCTGCACTCACAGCATTCCTTCCCCTCCTTACTTTAGATTCCAGGTAGGCTTATTTGAATCCAGCTTCTGCATATCCTTATTTAGCCTTAAAACACTGGGCAAAGGAGCTGTTAACACAATGTCTTTTATAAAGCTATGGTAGCTCAGAATGTAATTAACTTGCCCAAGACTAAACTGTAAATAACCTTGGGAATGTAAAACTTAGCTCCTACCTGAATCCCACAGTCCTCTTGGGCTCTCCCTCCTGGACAGTGCTCTGACTGGCTTTTGATGCCTCTTCTGCCATGGCCTTATCAGTCACTTTTAGCTCAGCGAGCACTCACTCACTCTTCTTGTTTGGTGATGCATTTTTCTGACCTTTTTAGCAGAACTTTGTGAAGTGGCTGGGCACATTCACATTTATTTTGTATGACTAATAACACTTTTGCATGCATCCTATTAATTTGGAAATAACCCACTGAGAATGATCTGATTTATTTGTTTGCAAATTATATTCACATACCCCAAAATACCATTCCTTTAAGGAGTTGGTGAGCAGTGGCGAAAAGACCTTGCAGGAAATCAGTGCTCTGATAGAGAAGCTGCAGAACAGGGATGAGAGAATCGAGTGCATCAGCACCTGGCTGCAGGAAGACATCCAAAGACTGCGCTTCCTTATCAAGGATGAGTCAGGAACAGACCTTTGCAGACTATGGCTTGGTGAGCTTAATGATAGAAAACATTTTGCTATCTTAAAATAGCTGCTGACATAAGGGGCCTCCTCAGGGACTGATCATCAAAAGAACACGGGAAAAAATAAAAAATAAAAAAACCACAATGCCAAATAATTTCTGCTCGGTGATGTCACAAACACTCCATGAAAGGTGTACTCACTTGTGGGTTGAGTAAGTTAGAACAGTGTTTGTCAAGTGTCCCACCTGAGATAATTTTCTAGATAACTAACTGAATTCTCATAAAAACCATGTCTAGGGGCTCAGGGGTTAAGAGCACTGACTGCTCTTGCAAAAGACCTGGGTTTAAATCCTAGCACCCACATGGCAACTAAAAACTGTAACTCCAGTTCCAGGGGATCTGACGTCCTCTTCTGTCCTTCAAAGGTATTGCAGGACATGGATGCACTTAGATACATACAGGTAATACACTCATGCACACAATGAAAATTAATTACTTAAAAACTATGTCTAGAGAATTTTTTTTTGTCTAGAGGATTTTTTTGAGACAGGATCTCACTATGGAGTCTAGCCTAGCATTGATCTCAAGATCTTCCTCCCTCAGGTTCCTGATTGCTGGGATTATAGGTGCAAGCCACCACACCTGTACAGAGATGCTCTTTTTAAACTCTTGCATTTTTTTTTTTTCGGTCTTTTTGAGACAGGGTCTCCCTGTAGCCCCAGCTGTCCTAGAACTCAATACCTAGACCAGGCTGACCTTGAACTCACAGAGATCTGCCTGCCTCTGCCTCCCAAGTGCTGGGATTAAAAGCGTGCGCCACCATGCCTGGCCCAATTCTTGCATTCTTTTAAAAAATTTTTTTCTTGATTTATTTATTTTTATTTTATGTGTATGAGTGTTGTGCCTGCATGTGTGTAAGAGCACCCATGTTGTGCAGTGCCCATGGAGGACAGGAGAGGGTGCTGGATTCTCTGGAACTGGAGTTATGGACAGTTGTTAGCTATCATGTGAGTGCTGGGATTCAAACATGGGTCTTCTGCAAGAACAGCCAGTGCTCTTAACCACTGAGCCATCTCTTCAGCCCACTTCTGCATTCTTAAACAGGAAAAAAATATAATTTTCCCTCTTCTTCCTCAGCTGAATTCTGCATTAAAAATAGCAACTGTTGTCTAATACATGTATCTCAGGAGCAAACAGCCTAGTCACCTACTCCACCCTCAGTCCCAGAAATTATGTCACATTAGACATGGCCCTGAAACTCTGTCCAGATTAGAACTGCAGTGAGAAATGGAGGGAAACCCTTGCACAGGTACAGCCTAAAGTCCCAGTGAGTCACTTGGGAAAGTTGGATGGTCAGAACCAGTGAGCTGGAAGGAGGAAGAACAGAATGGAGAGGAGACAGAGTGACAAAATGAAAGTGAAACACACAGCAAGTGGACAGCTCCTGGAGGGTTTATTTTCAAAAGCATCACCATTCAATTGTTTAAAGGTGGGCAACAGAAAGTGACACGGGGGCTGGAGAGATGGCTCAATGGTTCAGAGCACTTACGACTCTGGGGAGAGGATTTTGGTTTGGTTCCCAGCACTCACATGGCAGCCCACAACCACTGTAACTCCAGTTCCAGGGGATCTGATGCACTCTTCTGGCCTCCATGGACACCAAGCATGCACAAAGTGCATATACATACAGGCAGGCAAAACACTCATACACATAAAACAAAAATGAATGAAACTTTTTTTACAAAAAGTAAAATGGGATAAAACTAAAATGAGGGAAAGTGAGACGGTTAAGAGCAGTTCAGAGCTGGGTACAACCTGTTTTCTGGAGGCTTCACTGATTTAAAATTTAAAAAAAAAAAAAAAGGAAGTCTTTTGCCCACATGGTGGCACATGCCTTTAATCCCAACACTCCGAGGTAGAGTTCCAGGTCAGCCAGGGCTACATAGGGAGACCCTGTCTCAAAAGAAACGGTGTTTCCACAGCCTGTGAGGAATTTGGGTAAGCCCTCTCCTCCGCTGAAAGCTTTTTCTGAGATTTTGCAGGAGCCTGGTGAAACTCACTGTATGTGTGTGTGCATAAGCAGCCCTGGAAGCCTGGCTGCTCTTCCCATTTCCCTTGCTGGGCACAGCCACCTCTGCCATGGTAGATCAAGCAGTATTTCAAAGATTGCACTCAGGTCTAAGTGTCAGGCAGTTCACAGTAGGAGTTACTTTGTCTCCTGATTCTCTTGGTACACTCCCTGCTTCTCTAGCTGTAGTTAAAGGCTTGCCTGCTAAGAGCAGGCTCTGATGTTAGGCTCTAGACCATAGATTAAAATGTTAAAGCAACTGATGGATGGTCTCTAAAAATCAGCCTCCACAGAGGGAGCAAAGATTAAAGATTCTTTTTATATCCAGTTTCCTCATTCTTTTAAATTTCTATTTTTGACTATGTTAATATTGCAACCCTATCAATGTATAGATAAATACAAATTATTAATATATAAGTTAAGGCATATGACTATAGGTAGAAGTGTAAAATAACTTGGAGAGCACTGGCCTGTATGTACCATATTCAAAACGTCTGTCTCATTGTCATTAGCATCACCAACTCATGGACCTTGGGGAAAGTGGACACTGATGCCTGAAGCCTGTTAGTTTTGATTTCCAACTCTTCCCTATATTCTGTTACTTGCCATTTTTCCAGATGTTAAAAGTGTTGTGAAGATTCCTGGGCAAGTCAATTGTCTACAATGCAAGTCAGTATCCTAAGGGCTGGATCCTCCCACCCCACCTGCTCCAAGCCCCGCCCCATTTGTACCCTTCTGCCCCCATTATCTACCCCCTTTCACTCTCTTAGTATATGTGGTCTATTACCCTTCCCAGCTCCCTCGCTTGAAGCTTTCTTCCACCCTCATGGGCTTCTTTCTAGTTTCTTGTCTTCTACCCACACTCACTCCCACCCAAATGCACATACATAAAAATTAAAAGCTAGGATCTGCATGGAAGTGGTAATGTGGTACTTGTTTTCTTGAGCCTGGGTTACCTTGTTATTTCCACTTCTATCCATTTTCCTACAAACTTCATTTCATTTTTCATCACAGTTGAAGAAAATTCCATTGTGTGCACACACGTTTTCATTATCCACTCATCTGTTGATGGATGTGTAGGCTGATTCCTTCTCCTTGCTAATGTGACCAGAACAGCAGCAAACGGATGTGAAAGAATTCGTGTGGTAGGGTAGGGTCAGTCCTTTGAGCATATGCCCAGGAATACTACAGCTGGGTGATATGGTAGTTCTATTTTTAGTTTTTTGAGAAGCCTCCACACTGATATCCATAGAGGCCGTACCAGTGTACACTCCCATCAACAATGGATAAGGGCTCCCTTTCCCCATATCCTTGGCAATATTTATTGCCATTTGCTTTCTTGTTGGCAACTGTACCCATTAGACAGATGTAATCTCAAAGTTTTAATTTGCATTTCCTCAGTGGCTAAGGATGTTGAACACTTTTAAACATATTTATTGGCCCTTTGTAATCCTTTTTTTAACGTTTTTTCACTTATTTAATAACCACATGATTAGAAGAAGCATTTCATTACAACTTTAATACATTCAGTAACAATTTCCAGAGCAAAGATACATCTCTTTTAAAAGTGGCTGTAAATTTTTAGGTTCACAGTTGAATTAATACAGCTATACAATATTGAACTCAGTATAAACCCTGTAAGACATAAAATTGAATGTTTTTAACCTTTAAAAAAGATCTCCATTTCATTTTAAAATATAGTTTCATACGGACTCATTTTTAATGCTACTAACACTTAGATGTTTGCACATGCATATCTAATCTCTATGTATCTGATTATTACAGTCACAGTCAGTTACACTCAGATCCTTAGAACCTGAGTATGGATATATAATCATCAGGTAGATTTCAATGGTAATGTTTATCACCTCTACTAACTAGCATGAAGTAAATTTTTATGCTTCCTCCTCAAATATAATTTTTTTCATTTGTTGATTTTGTGTATCATACAGAACATCCTAAACAATCTTATTCATCTATATACCCATTTCCCAAATGGCACACTCCTATAGCCTCTCACGCCCCCCCCCCACTGGAGCCCATATACTCTGTCATCCCTGTTACTATTCACTGTGTTGCCAGTGCCCCCAGCCGTTCCCCAGTGCTTGTCCATCCGCTGAATCTAGTCAGCCTATCTAGCGATCCTTGATTTAGGAAGAGCAGCTGTTCCTCATCTAACAGCATCAGTTGTCAATATTCCTTTAGATAAGATTGGGGTCTGCTGTTCACTTTCCCAGTTCTATACTGGGTTACTGTCTGGGAATCTCTTGTGCCACCCTGGCCAACAGCTCAAAGGAAGGTATCTCCTGTCTGGCATTGTTTCTTGTTATGTAGCCTTTAGCTATACATATGTGCAGGGCGGCTCGGGCCAGCTGCAGGAGGCTCAGGCCAGCTGCGGGAGGCTCTCCCTTTGCTCGCGGGTCGTTGGCCACCGGTCCACGAGGGCAGGGAGAGCAGAAACGGCGAACGGGGTCAGAACGGCCAGTGGGCACTGACGGAAGACAGCTCTTCCGGGGAAACTGATCACAGGCTGGTCACAGGCGCAGTGAAACAGCAATGACACAGCTCCAGGCACAGTGAAAAACAGCTCCAGGCAGTGAAACAGCTCCGTTTATTAGTGGGAAAACTAGAGAATTTATAGTGTGGAGGCAGTAGCAAAAGCCTCAGTTGATAGGTGCTCATAGTGTGCTTTATTTACATGTGACAGTGGGCTCCTATCTTCCAGACTATCAGACAATGCCTGATTATCATATAGAAAAAATCTGGGAGTAGTTTTTACTCCAGGTAACTATGCCAAAGGTCATGTTTTAGATAAGGCATCTGTGTTTGGCGGCACTTCAATGTGAGCCAAGAAGAGAGCAGGAGGCCCCCTGCTGGAAAGGGGAGTTTTTCCATTTGGTGCCGAGCCCCTCAGGGCTATCCAGACATGGAGAAACTACAACCCTAACAGCAGGGTTT